GCGCGAAGTTGGGTGCCGAGTACAGCACATGGCCAAGCTTCTCAGCTGTCACGTCGGTTACAGGCAGAATGTCAACGGCATGCGTCTGTTAGGACCCTATTTTCCCATAAGCGTATTCACCAAACCATCTAGACCTGTCCTGATCGAAGCCTAAACACGTACCTGCATCACTTCCTCATCAGTCGTAAATGACGCAGTTCGTTACTCGAGACTCGCATCAGTCGTGGCGCCTGCACTGGGTTTGCATATGGTCGTAGAGGAACTTGGTTTAAAATTAGCCATGTTGCATCGACTCCGGTTTGTTGTATCATATCAGTTGCTCGAATTGACAGGCTAAGATACGCGAAGTGGCGCAGTCGCCTACCAAAGTGAAGTAGACAGTTATTTTAATGCCACTCTTAGTGCCTAGTCTGGAAATTGCAATATCGATGAAGTTTACAAAAACTACAAAGAGGCCTTCATTTTCTCGGCGAAAAACTTAGTTGAATGGCCAAATTGCCTTGGGTCATGAGGAATGGTAGTTTGGAGTAATTAAATATACTTAAAAGAGTTGGGTGGCCGGGTGTTCCAAATACCACGATATCGTGTTACTGTCAACTCCCGGAAATTGTTTCTCCGGGATTATCCTGTAATGTCTGAAGCGGACAGTTGATGGAAAGCTTCGCTCAAATCCATTAGGTTACCCTCAAATTTTCACTCTGCGAAGGATCACTGGGCAAAGCCAACAATTCTAGTTTCTTCGACTTCAAAGCTGCATTTAATTCACTAAATTGTCTATGCGAAAAATCTTGAATCGATTGAGGAAGAGTTGAATGCATTAACCATGTCTGCTGTCAGAGTTAAAGGAGAGCTATCTGAATGCTTCCCTATTTACTGTGGAATTCGCCAAGACGATATGTTTTCACCCTTTGTCACATAACAGTGGTCTTGTTTTTCTCCGTCGCAGTGCTATCTTTCGCAAAGAGTTGCTCTTTCTATGGGGAAGGTCAAGTTCAAGTTATCTTGCTGGAGTACGCAGATGATATTGCCCTTCTGAGTAGTAGGGAAGCTGGATCTGTAACTTGAGGGCTTACATATGCTACACCAAAAACATCTGCGAAAACTGGTCTCTTGCTTAATGTCTGGACGTCAGAAGTTATGATGAATCCATTCGGCACAGCTGACCCAAAAATGGAACAGGGAGGTGAAGCGCTTCAGAATGCGAGCCAGTTTAAGTATCTCTGTTTCACTATCTCCAATGATGGAACTGACCTGGCCGAGTTAAGTAGGAGAATTGCCTTAGTATGAACCGCTTTTGGAAACATTTCCAGTATTTGACTGAGACGAGAGTTACTCTTCGCACGAAAATCTCCTTGTATTCCGCCGCTTCTAGGTTAGTGCTTTTGTATTGCATGGACGCAGTTGTTTTAATGAAGGATCAAGAACGATTGCTGAAAGGCGTAAGACAGCGTGGGCTTCGATGCATAATAAGTGTTAAATGACAGGACCAGGTAAGTAATGACTGTTCATTTCGTTACACAGGCGTCTTTAGTAGATGTGGAGGTTAAAAGAAGGAGGTTGGTCCTGTCGGACAACTAGTTGAGCTTAAATGTTTTACCACAGCTCGCGAGTATCTCTTGTGGGATCCTAAACAGGTCAGACTTTCTGGATGCAACGTAGTGGCATGAAACTAGGTAGAGAAATGATTCATTCTGTAGCAGAAGTGTTCAAAAATTACTGATACAACGAAGTGCACAGACCAGAGACGCAGTCCTTATGGAAACTGCTCAAGGGGATGATCTCAACAACAACTGAGCGTATAAGCAGGTTGGAGAATGTGGAGATTTACAGTTGGCAGCTTGAGACATTCTGAGATCAGGTTTAGGGAATATTGTGATCGAAGGCTGCATAATTTAATATGTAATGCATGATGCTTTGGTAATTCACAAACGAGAAGACAAGGCATAAAATATTTTTTAATTAAGGCCATCTGACGTTTCGGACCAATCTCGGTCCATCTTCAGAGTACAATGACAAAGGCAAGTAATATTTTCATGCGGGTCTGGTTGACACGCACGATTACTGGTGCCACGTTTGCTTTCTGATCTTAATCGGCCGCCTGATGTTTGCGGTCCACGTGTCGTCCATAAATGTGATCATATTTATTTTAATTTGTCTATAATCGAATTTCAAAAATTACTGTCTGTCGTTTATTTTGTTTCTAAGCATAAAGTTTTTCTTCAGAGTCGAATAAGCGATTCTATGCCAGATATGATTCTACCGACGAGAAGTATGGGAAGCAACGAGTGCAGGAAGGTTTTCAGTGAATCACAGAAAGTGAGGGAGATGCTGAAGCATCCGGCTTTTCAATTCGTCGACAGCGAAGAGGACGCGGATGTCTTTTGGTACAACACACCCTTTAAAGATTTCAAGTAACGTTGCGATGATATGATCATGTTGCTTCTTTCACATTTTACGGTGATGATTGTTTCTAGCCGGCTATTAAAACACAATCCGAATGTGCTCATCAACCAGTTTCCGTTCGAACACGTGCTGACAGTGAAAGATCTGTTGGCAGCTTTGATTAAATCACACTACTCACAGAGTCAAGTTGATCCGGCAACTCTTGAAATGCGTCCCTCGTGGTTGTGCACCACGTATAGTTTGGAGGCGGAATTGCCGCAGTTCGTGTCGTACTTTCAGCAGAGGGCGAAAAAGTGAGTGTCGATTGCATTGTTGTAAAAACATCGCTTCTGAACGCCTCGTCTAGAGACTTAGACAATCACTGGATCATCAAGCCGTTTAATCTTTCACATTCAATGGACACGTACATAACGGACGAAATCGGTCAGATCATACGTTTGATGGACAGTGGCCCAAAAGTAGTTTACTCTTTATTTTTTCACTAGCTCAATGCTTAAGTTGATGTATTAGCTAAATGATTATTTTTTAACAATAAATGGTAGTCAGGGCTTTAGCCTATCCTGCTAAGTGAGGAACATTCTTTTAATGACTGTCTTGTTTTCTGTTTCCATATAGTTTGATGGACTGACGTTGACGTCATTTATGGCATTTACGTCAAACAGAGGTTTAACTGACGTTTGTGATTAGTTATCGACTAAGCGTAGGGTGATGTGTGACATTGGGCGGTATTAAGGCGGCGCGTTCATGTAGCCGCAAGTTTGAATCTACATGATTCGTAGGTGTTCGTCTGTATTTAGTATTCAGTTTATTTTTTCGTGTTACATATCACTCAAAGGCTCTTTGCAATCACAATACGAAGCTTTGGTCGAACTTTTAAATTTCGAAGGCTTTCAGCTTATTTTGTCTTCACTGTGGCGAATGCTTATGGTCATCAAGTCAGTTCAGGTCTTAATCTCGACTTTTAAACTACGAAATTGCCAGATATCCATTGGTATCAGCAGTTTCATTTAATTTCTTATGGTTTATCTTTAAATATTGAATTCGGGTCTTATGCGGAAGTTGAGTTCAGAATTGAAAACAGCCTCTACTCAGTGACAAGTCATTTGATGCAATATATTACCAGTTAACTCACCATGAACACTGTGTAAATCTCATCGGAAATAATTTAGTTTCTACTGTGTAATCTCTCAATTCTTTTCCGTTTGTCTCTGCATTTTTTTCATCCGTTTCATTTCTTGTGCCTTTCAGTTCTTTATTGCAAAGTTTTATTTACCTGCTTATCTTTCATATCTGTAGCTACGCCATCGTTAATGGTTTGTACTAAAGAGGAAACACCGTTGTAAATTTCGAAAGGATTAAACATTTTTTTCACGCTTCTAACCCTCATTTACTTTGCCTCTTATCGTAAGGAGACAGTTTATGTTTTTCGAACTAGACTCTATAAAGCGTCAGACAAAGTGTAGGTTTTGGAAATGTCCCTTGATTCATTTGCGACCATTGTGCGAGGTGCTGATCGTCAGCCGTGTCACAAAATTCATATGCACAGTTAACATGTGAAAACTATGAATTTTGATGAAATGACCTTCTTTTGTCACTTAAAATATGTTGTGCAGAAATGTTTAATCACTTTTGGAATTTGGGTGAACAAATTCCAAAATTAAACATCTAATTAACAGAAAACTTCTGTGGCACCAGAAGTATTTTCTTCTATTAACATCCTGATCTCCACAGTTGATGATGATTTATCGACATGATGATGATGATGTATTGTTGTCAAGTAGCGCTCGAAGGTTCCAAAGCTTTCATGTTAATGAAATATTGAATTTTCGGGTTTACATTGTTTTAGTATTATACTCTTAATATATACGTCATGTCGCCATTTTTAAATTATGCGTTAAACCACTAAGATGCATGTTATCTGCATGGCATTTATAATACGCCTTTATAAGTCATTGACAGTAATTATTAATCCGCTTTCTATTTCGCGATTCATCACCAATTTGATTTGTGGTTGATTGCCGGAAAAAGTTATTAAACATTTTCCGTTCATTCTGCGTTTAACGCAACTCATGAAGTAGCTTCCATATTTTTGGATGTGACGTTTCCAACTGAATATTTCAGTGAACTGTTTCCACACGATCATTCACATGCTCAGTTGCAGAACAATCATATTTTTACTGGAAACAATACCTTAATCTTAACGTGTTAATGTTAATGAGTTCTGAGATTTACGTGACCGACGCAGTTACGTTTGAACCAGCAAGAACATTATAACTATAGAAACAGAATTAATCGGGAACCTTCGAAATTTAGAAGTTTGCTGCAGGTTTGTTCTAAATCAACCTACATCGAAATGACTGCTCCAGGTCATCCGATCTGTGAATGCAATGCAGTACTCTATGCTGCCTAAAGTTGACTGTAAAGTTTGCGGTTCTTTTACTGAACCTTAAAGTGTGAAGTAATCTCATGGTTCTCATAGTGTATTTACCTCTTCGTTTTGTTCAGGTCGCTTGCAAATACATTGAAGATCCGGTGCTCTTCTATCGTGATGACCTCGGAAGTTGGGTAAAATTCGACATGGGTTTCATCGTATTGCTCAAATCGGTTGAACCATTAACTCTGTACCTGTATGATCGATTTTTGATGCACTTCGCTCTGAAGTATTTAATTTTGCAATTTTTTGTTTTCCGTTGGATAGATATAAGAGTATTAACCTTGCTTTTAGGTCCTTCGATCTAAAACACTGTGATGACGTCGAAAAACATTTCACCGTTTTCAACTATCTAAAAGAGAAGAAGGTCAAACAAGTAATCATTTAGTTTTGATAGTTGGAAAATTTATTCCAGGAACAGGGGCGTAAAAAATTTTCATGTGAAACAAAATCGTTAAAGCAAATAAACTGATGATAAACGTGTAGTTCTAAACAAAGCTGTCATTCAGGCTGTTTTTGTTTTATAATTTATGGATATAGTGGAATTTTAGCAAAAATTAACTTTTTCGGTGATGAGGCCTTGAGGTCAACAGTTTATAACTTTCAGTTTGTTTCAGGACTATGTATTAGCGATCCGTGGTGCGAAACGATTCGATTCTTTCCATAATTTAATAATTTTTAAAAGGTTGCGTGCAGTTGCTGGTAAAACTTCAGTTACGTTAGTCGAAACTGATGCACCAGATTGTATCACATATAAACGATTGTTTGGAGGCCTGCAGTACGATACAAATCAAACATTGGCAGAAAATTCCATACCGGTAGCAGGCAGGTAACAGACTCATTAATGGAGAGCGTCTTTGCGGGCAGCTGCTGCAACTGATCGACCACAGGATCATGTTCTTCGAATGAGGACTTAATTTCGCAACGTATCTCAGTGAACAGCTTTGACATTTCTTCTGGAGGGAGGGGGTAGGGTTGCACGCGTTCGGGAGCTGGTTTTGTGATAGTATAGGCTTCCACTTGAGGTATAGCCGGTGTTCTTTCGCTGTAGTTATCGTAATGCAGTGTGTCCATTTGATGTTCAACAATTGTAGGTAGTCTTCACCTAGAACAGCCAAAGCCTGCCGATGTTTTCCTTCTACAGAGTTCAGGTTTCACGACCATATGGTAGGACCGATGCGTTCGGCATGTATTATAAGCAGATCTTTTTTCATATCGCTGAATGGGCCAGTGATCCCACCTCTGAAACCTCGAAACTGATTGTATGCCGTCTCTGGTTTGCGTCGCAGAAAGGACTACTGTGGCTTTTGTAAGTGAAGTTTCTGACTGCTTCCATTGTCTACCCATAGCTTTGATATTTGAGCCCTTATCCGTGACTGCCTTATCATATGACTGGATCACTACGGTACCATATTCAGCTCGATCGCCGCATCCTTAAAACGCGGTTAGGTTCAATCAGCTGGGAAAAGAACGATGTCTGTGAACGTGCTGTCGGCCCTCGAAATGTCAGAGCCAAGCAGAATAAAGATGGTGCGGCAATGAAGCACTGCCTTGCGCTGGATGTTGTTGAGAGGTGATCAGATAGGCCGTTTCCAAGGTAAATTCTACCTTCTCTATTGGGTCAGACGATCGAATGCTGTGATTGCACAGTGCTTTAACAGAACAGAACAACTTTGAATTCGAGCTCCGGAGGTGCTGAGTACGATTTCCGTTGGGGGGGGG